AGAAGGAAACTGCAATTTGAATCTTTTGTCCACGATCTTGGGAGTCACGTCAAACGATCGCTAGTTAACGTAACTTCTTATTGCACTAATAAAGGTCGCAAAGAGAATATTTACTGTGGCGCGATGTGTCGTATTTTGTGCTAAAAAATATTTTTAATTAGCATGCTTTGTAACACGCTGGCTCTAGCTCCCACCTCTTTCTTATACTACACTGAACTGTCCCACCCGTGGCGCCACCGTCAATACCGGATCGCTGGTTTCACTGAAATGTCATTTGCAGGAGGGTGCTGCCATCACATTTGACGTTTCAAAATCGTTCAACTATACTCTGATCTGACGTTTGGTCTTAAAAGTTTGTCCATTTAGATTTGCGGGGCTACAGACTTGTTTTTCGGAGCTCACACGGAGCAGTTTATTTCAAGTTTTAAATCATTATCAGAAGAAAATGATATTTTATTGTCATTTTATCCCCGCTTTTTGTAAAGCCGCAACCGATCCTAGACTAGTGTTTGCTTTGACGCTACGTTTAGTGTACTCGCAATTGGTTTTAGGTACTTATCTCTACTCTGCAGGCGGTTTGGTAAATATGCAGCCAAGTCATTACAGCTGGACAAAATAATAAAATGTTCCCAGTCTTATAAAGCTCTTTATCACCCGCACTAATATTTATAAATGCTAAAGTAGCTCTATTTACCTCTTCACGCTTAAACCACTGAACCGATTTTGATGAAATTTGGTATCTATAAAGTTTCAACCCGGAAAATGACATAGGATAGTTTTTATTCCGGTTTTGAAAGGGGAAAATTAAATCAAATAAAATTATCATAGGTACTTACTTTCATAAACATACATACTAATATTATAAACGCGAAAGTTTGTATGGATGTCTGGATGTCAACATGTTTGTTACTCTTTCACGCAAAAACTACTGAACGGATTTTGATGAAACTTTGCAGTATTATTGTTTATAACCCAGAATAACATAAAGGCTATAATTTATGACGATCTGTGACAAAATAAATTTCACGTGTGTGAAGCCGCGAGCAAAAGCTAGTGGTTAAATATGTTTTTATTGCGATCTACTATCTATTGATTTGCACATTGCATATTCTATCTGGAAATCGAACCCAGAACTTCAAAATTTTGTAACTACATTTATTGCCTATCGCAAAGAAGACTTTTACTTTATTCTTACACTAGCTTTTGCCCGCGGATTTAGTTTGTCACAGATCGTCATAAATTATACCCTATATGTTATTTTGGGTTATAAAGAATAATACTGTAAAGTTTCATCAAAATCCGTTCACTAGTTTTTGCGTGAAAGAGTAACAAACATCCAGACATCCAAACTTTCGCATTTATAATATTAGTAGGATAGTAGGATGTAATTGGACACTACATTATTCCAAACTATCGCAGAAGTTGAGTGTTGTTTATCTTTAAAACAGTAAACGTGATGTAGCCGCCATTATCTTCTCTCAACCATGCCCTAGGGGCTCGTTGTGGTTCCGAAAGAACTTAAAAGCTCTGTAACATCAACTTTATTACATATTTTATGCAAAAAACAAATTCTTAGCAACACACAGACGTATTTCACTGCGTATATTGTAAGCAGTAATTTATACGAAAATCCTCATCCATCTTCATGTGCGCTTCATCAAAACACAATGGAGGTTGTGCCAGTAATTTTTGTACAGAAGATAAATATCTATAAAACTCAAAGGTGACTGACTGACATAGTGATCTATCAACGCACAGCCCAAACCACTAGACGGATCGGGCTGAAAGGCATGCAGGTAGATGTTATGACGTAGGTATCCGCTAAGAAAGGATTTTACGAAACTCCACCCCTAAGGGAATAAAACGGGATCCACGAGTTCGAAGTCGCGGGCGGCCGGTAGTCTCTCTATAATTCTTTATCTATATCTATATATATAAAAGAAAGTCGTGTTAGTTACACCACTTATAACTCAAGAACGGCTGAACCGATTTAGCTGAAAATTGTCAGGGAGGTAGTTTAGAGCCAGGAGAAGGACATAGGATACTTTTTATCCCGTTCGAAATTTAAAAAAAAAGTCTGCTTATTTATTGCCATTAAGGCGGAACAAAGTTCGCCGGGTCAGCTAGTATGTATATAAAAGAAAGTCGTGTTAGTTACTTCACTTATAACTCAAGAACTGCTGAACCGATTTAGCTGAAAATTGTCAGGGAGGTAGTTTAGAGCCAGGAGAAGGACATAGGATACTTTTTATCCCGTTCGAAATTTAAAAAAAAGTCTGCTTATTTATTGCCATTAAGGCGGAACAAAGTTCGCCGGGTCACCTAGTTAGAAATAGATTAACACCGCGGCTTCGCCTGCGTGAAATTTTATCTGTCACAGAAAAACTTTACCGTACGCGTCCCTGTTTAAAAAACCGGGATTAAAACTACGTGTATCATAAATGTCCTTTTTGGGACTCAATCTATATCTTTTCTTATACCAACATGAAACATCTAAATCAGATAGTTTAAAGAGAGTTGTGCTCCTTCATTCAATTCCATGATGTGATGATGATAATACTTATGGAACGGTCAAACTTACCTAATTCCCATGCCCTGGAGTACTTAGTGTGTTTTCTTACAATATTTTAAGACCTTTGCGCACATGCCGTCGACGCGCGTCTGAATCGATACAAACGGGAACTGAGTCAGACCCAATTAAAAACGTTTGTAGAAAAAAACGACATCGAACTTCGTAGGCGCGTTTTAAAAACGCCGTATGCAATGTGCATAGGTTCTACAGAGAACGTTGGAAGTTCTACCACATCCAACTCTATTGTGACAACGTCTAGTTGCACGTTTTGATGTGGTAATAAAAATGTGCCATACGTAACACTGAGAGACTGGTACATGAAGCGGCGCATCGGGCTGTAAATTTTTGTTGGAAAACAGACCCTATTACAACCATACAAAACACCACAGTGGTTACCTTGATGGCTCGTCTGTACGACGAATAATAAATGGAGCACTCCTACATAGCATTTTATTTATGAATAAAAACATTTTATTAATATTTAGTGCAACAAAAATCTTGTGTCTTGTACTTGGTAAAATTTTAAAATTTATACAATAAGCACTATAATAGTGAATTGATTTAAGAATACTTTCCTAATTACGATTAGTAACGCATATCTAAAAATCGCATTCTCTCCAGTTTTTCAGACCGACTGACTGGTAGAAAAATCATATCAAAGCTATTAATCCAATAGAGCCTTGATAAATTTTAATCCCCATTATTTCTCATAAAGTCTGCTAGGATTGTTAAAATCACGATCATCATCATCATAAACTTACACGAATACCTATGTATTTCTGCACCATCCATCCAGGTCGACCTAACTGGAAAAATGTAGGTAAATAAACAAAGTATTTTCACAATATTTATTCCCTTAAAATCGAACTCAGATTCTCTGAGTCGCGAAAATCTCTAACCACTGAACAATTGAGCCGTGACCATCCAATAATCTTACAAAATGATTAAAATGGAAGTATTTTCAGGAAAAGCTCCAGTTCAGAGTCTTAGGAGCTTATAGAAAGCATTACGAAATAAGCTCCCGTCGTAATAAAAATACGGCTGTGCTGTGAAGGTCTCGAAAGAGTTTGATTTACCTCCGGCTAGTGTTGCACAAATATTTCACAACACCTAGTTCGCTCCAATAGAGTTGGCCGAAAGACAAATTCAAATAATGTTGAAATCACTAAGAATTTTGAGACAGTTGAATTTCTACTTCAACATTTTATATCATACTAGCCGCCGCCCGCGACTTCGTATGCGTGGATCCCGTTTTACCCCCTTATGGGTGGAGTTTCGTAAAATCCTTTCTTAGCGTATGCCTACGTCATAACATCTACCTGCATGCCAAATTTCAGCCCGATCCGTCCAGTGGTTTGGGCTGTGCGTTGATAGATCACTATGTCAGTCAGTCAGTCACCTTCGAGTTTTATACAGTGTGTCCGGGTTTGTAGTGATCAAACTTTAAGGGCGTAATCTATGGTCAATTTTATCGATGAAAATACTTCAAATTTGGGGCTTGACCCATTTCTCGCAAAATTACGAGGATTTAAGTTTTTAATTTTTGGTTTCACCTCTTCCTTCAAAAACAAGTGAAAGCGTGGGTAGCTTAACACTAATAAGCAAAAATTTTATATCATACGATAGCCAATAAAATTATCTATTAGCAGAAGTAGAAAACAGATACAAGTTTCATACATTTTAAGGGAGTAAGAATGGATTTAATTAGAAAAAAAATGACTTTTTTCACTTCTTTTTCAGTTATTTTCCAACACAAGAAAAACCAGGAAGCGCAAAATAATCGACAAAAGTGAAAGTGGTGCACATGCTGGATCTAGTCTCCGACTATATCATGGGATGTAGCCAGAGACCATCCCCAGCCTGTGCACAGGAGCTATTGCAGTTATTGAAGAATGGACTAGGGTTATGGATGAAGGATGGATGGACTGGTTACTGGGCTATGGATGGAGACTACGGGACACCTGCCTGGTTCATAGTCTCGGACTGAAAAAATGGCAGGCGGTGACTAGCCAGCGACTAAATGGCCCCCCCCTGGCGTCATGGGTCGTAATAGACCGGACTGAGGGGCAACATTGGCGTCTGCCAGCTCAGGGGTGTAGAGAGGTGTGCTGCGCTTTCTCCGGAGTTACTCGCGGCGTTATGCCCTTTAACACTTCCACCCCTGGAGCATATAGCTCTAGCGACTCCACTCTGGCCGGCCGGTTAAGGCAAGCCAGAGGTGAAAGTCCTGCAGACCCTCTCGGATTCCACTTCGGCAAGCCGAAGACGAGGGTCTTGACCGACTCTCGGGAGCACTCGTATTAACAACTGGCCCCGTGGTGTCGCTACTCACCAACAGCTCGCCACAAAGCTGCCCTGCCATTATTATTATTATTATTATTATTATTATTAAATAACTGTGACGCAGAACAGTGGTTTGAAGGCACTCTCACAAACCAGGTTTTAAGGCTTTCAACAAGTACTGGTAAGGATAAAAATTATAGCAAGTTCATCCTACATTTTGGAACAAGGAAGCTTTTTGATTGCTCATAAATGGTACGTTAATTAGAAGCTTCCCAATTGGTACCTTCGCAGATTGCATCCCACTAAAGTGGGATACCTAAAGGTATCAGGGTCGGCACTGGTCCAGTAAACTGCACCAACATTACCGGTTTCAAAGCCTCAGCATCTCTCCAGCTCCCTATGGTACAATCTCAACTAGCTGAAAGTCTTGGACGACCTCAGCCTACTCACAGAGTTATCAAAAGCTATGATCATAATCACTATGATGATGTTAAAGCACTAATACTTACAGGTTTTAAAGCTTTCAGCATCTTGATCCCATCTCTCTCCAGCTCTCTATGGTACTGCCCGAACTTGCTGAAAGCTTCTGAAGCGCGCGCTTGAGGCTCCCTCACTCCTATCGCGGCAAAGATGTCGCCCAGAGACTTGTACGTTTGGAGCAGGTCGAAGTATGCTTTTAGCATCCTAGGAGGAACAAAAGATGACCATTACTAATGAGGTCTATCGTATTTGACCTCACCCAGGTGGCACTACTAGAGAATAAGGTGCTAAGACAGTGGCGTCAATTGCTGACTGGTGAGTGCTAAAATGGTAGGACTGTAGCATTTGCAAGGATGCCACCACTCTAGTAAAGTCCTACCATTTATACTTAGTGGTCCCAACTGGTAAATGTAAAAACAATGGCCCTCATTACACATCTACAGCCTGAAACACGCTAAATACACTACAGACCTTCATCAACATCACCACCTTCTGTTTTTTAACGAGCAAGTATTCGTCAACATAAAATGTTGCCTGTAGAATTCAAAAAGTTTTTCGAGCTAAACCTAAGTGTGTAAATCTAGCTATAAGTAGCTTAGTTGAAAAATATTTAAATAATTTTAAACGTACGGACAAAGGCCTGTTGGACAAAGGCCTCCCCCAAGGATTTCCAGGGAGGCCTTTGTCCAGCAGTGGACGTCTTTCGGCTGAAACGAACGAACGAACGAAACATACGGACAATACCTGTTAACTGCGTATAAAATTTGAAGTAGGTTAGTTTATATTTTGTAACACTTACCGCTTTGCATGTTCGACTAATCTTTTGTATGTGGTCTCTGTGTCTCGAAGTTCGTCCAGCTGGAAAAAGAATTTTAAACGTTGTAATTTTGTTTTAAGTTTCAATTTTGTTAAATATTTATGTCCCACTTACCCTGGCCACCAAAGTATCGTTGCAGAGAATAGCCCGGGAGAGTCCCAATGCGTCTGCAGCGCCAGAAGACATATTTTCCACCAGCCTATGCTTCATCTTCTTCATTATTATGTCCAGGGACTTCCCTTGTTTCGGATCCGCGTGCAGTTTGTTGTAGTTTATTGTTACTTCGTCCTAAAATATTGCAATATTACACGTATTTTTACTACCCCCTACTAGGTGGACCGACGATCTGGAGAAGGTCGCGGGAGGTGCCTGGATGCGGGCGGCGTAGGACCGGGCGTTGTGGAAATCCTTGGGGAAGGCCTTTGTTCAGCAGTGGACGTCATTTGACTAAAACGAACACTTATATTTAGAAAGACTACAAATAATTTGAAATTTCCTCCCTAAGGTATCTGGGCCAGCACGGAGAGTGAAGGCCAAGTCATCATGATCATCATCATTTCATCTACATGACGTCCACTACTGAAGTACCGAACATAGGCCTCCACTAATGTTTTCCAGATTGGCCGGTTGGTAGCGACCTGCATTTAGCACCTTCCTACTACCTTTATGAGGTCGTCTGTCCCCCTTTTTCCTGGTATTTTAATTTTAAGCTGCATGTGTCAAACAAGGCTGTATGTTTCTTTAATAAAGATAAATAAATAAACTAAAGAGGGTCGAGCAGTGGTTATGATGATGATGACTCTTAAAATATGATGAAACTAGCTTTTGCCCGCGGCTTCACCCACGTGAAATTTAGTCCGTTCTGTAGTTTTTGCGTGAAAGAGTAACAAACATCCAGACATCCCAACGTTCGCATTTATAATATTAGTAGGATAAATGTTTACCTTGGCTGATTGTATCATCTTGGCCACTTCCACTTTGGTCTTTCCTTTGACAGATTGTCCATTTACCCCCACCAACTCATCCCCACTTTGGAGCGTCCCATCTTTTGACGCTGGGGTATTGTCGAATATCTGAAAGAAAGTATTATTTTGTCAGTTTTTATGGTGTGTGGAAATTGCGATCGCCATTGAACTAAAGTCTGGTCGCCGAGCACGTAGAATTTCGGCCAATGACTCCATGATACCTATCCTTATCGCTCGCGCGTAATTATATTGCTGTCGCGACTGTGCGACGGGCGGCAGCAGTGAGTTTTCGGTGACCGGACGGAGTATGGTTTTGGATAAGAAAAGTAACAATGGGTCAAAGTGCTACAATAAATTGAGGAATATAGTGAAAATGTAGAGCTAAACTGAATTGTGGGTCTTTAGCACGAAGTGACCTACATTTTTGTTTCCAAGATTCAAGTGCTTCACGAGGCCAAAAAAGGAACTTTGTTTGTTAGATTCTTGTTACTTAAAGGAGCTGTAGAGTTTGTTTTCGTGCAAACATAATGTTTTACTTACCTGGACAATGTACAGGCATGGACACAAAGGCGCTCCGCCCCCTATGCTGATTCCTATGAGGTTCTTCTCATCTTTGCTTAGCGCCACACTACCCGATGTTACTGTCATACCCCTGGAATGACAGTTAGATATGTCAGAAAATGTATTACAGAAAAAAAGATGACAAATTTTCAGTGGATTATATTGTATTTTTAGACTACAGTTCATTCGCATCAATGTGGAATTTTATGGTTAAAGAAATTTATTCTCAAAAAAGACAAATAGTCACTTACATGAGAACATCATTTACATGAGTATTTAAATAGATCGTTCAAAACGCTAAGAGGTAGCTGTAGGTAGGTTCAAAAGGTAGGTACTCATTTAGTGCATTCGTATCATTTTATTTTATTTTTAAATAACCAACTGCTTAGGTACTTTCTAAAATATGTTGAGCAAGTTTAATTTTAAATCCACTAAATGAGCTTACATTTTTTATTTCTGAGGGTATTTTATTATAAAGTTGCGCTCCTTCAAAAGTGATCATTTTTTTGCCATAATTTGTTCTTACTTTGGGTAGTACGAGAAAACTGGCTCGGCGAGCGCTTCGTTTAGTAAAGTTTTTAGCTGTAGTTAAGGTTATACTAGTATGGAAAGAGCTTTTTAAAATTTTTCTTATTAGTATGCAGGTAGTATAGGTATATAATTGCTTGATGTTCATTAATTTAGTATCATTATATATTTTTTCAGTTGAAGTTAAGCGGTTACATTGAAAAAGTATTTTTATAATTTTGTTTTGCATTACTTGAAGTGGAGCCAATTTTGTTTTACCAGCACTACCCCAAATCTCCAATAAGTATAGTAGATGCGATTTGACAAGAGAGTTATATATAGTGTATCGTAGACAACGCGGGATACACCGAGAGATTCCCTTAAGAGAGCCAATGAGAGACGTTAGTTTCGTTCTGACGTGCTCGATTTGTGCAGTCCACGTCAAGCCGCTATCTATTCGAAGGCCAAGATATTTTTCGCAATTTTTTTGTTTTAATTCAATATTGTTTATTTTTAGAGATTGGAATGGTTTTATTCATGGACCTATAAAAAAAGGCGGACGGAACTCGCGCTACAACAAAACTGTGATGCAAAATTTTGGCGTTTGTCTATTGTGTGAGTGAATTTAGGGATGCCATGTTAGCCAAAACATTTTACCCATTTATTTTAAGAAAAACATAGATCGGCAGATGTTACTTGGAAATGTAGACAGAATTATTCCGTGCCATTTTAAAAGGATGAAAGGTGTATGCGTTGAGGTAGGCGCGAAATTTTCAATGTTCAAATTTTCTTACATTGTTTGCAAGTCAGTGTGTCAGGGTATGTACATAATGTTGATCAAAAATAATTCACGCAGTTACAAATTACGAATCTTGTGTACATTATAATCATAATCTTATGCATCATCAATATATTATTATTATCTCTGATAGATATTTTTTAACATACAACCTGACACTGACTTGCAATCAATGTAAGAAAATTTGAATTTCGCAGTTCCACATTTTTGGGAAGGATCAAATTTGCCTATGAAAATATATCCCATTAAAACACAATAATTATGATAAATTATTTTATTTCCATAGTATGCGTAATACATAACTAAAAAGTCCTAAAATCATTATTAATTTCCCATATTTCGGGTAATTTTCCCACGTAAATAACTGAGAACACTGGTCTTTGACGTATTATTTTTTCGAGTGAATGACGTTTGATTTCAATTAATTTCAATATTTTAATGTCGGGAAATAAGTGATTGGATTATTATTTTACCTGTGAAATGTGATTCCTTAATTTTTGTTTGTTCGAACAGAACGGTTTTTACACAATTTCATCACACAAGACATGTCGTATTCGTGTTGTTTTTTCGCTGCTTAAATGTGTCAACTGTGTGAAGTTTGCTCTCGAAGTGGTGTAACAGGGTGTGAATGTGTGCGTGCCGGCCTGTACGTACAGGCAAGCTGGTGTATCCTAATGTCACAGTATTTTGTTGATGAGACTCCGTCCGACTTTTTTTATAGGTCCATGGTTTTATTACTTTATTTTTTGCCTTAAATATTACGAAACAAGTTTTTGATGCATTTATTGTAAGGAGATTATATTTGAACTCAGATCATAGAAAGAGAATAGATATGAAGTCGCGCGTAACTACAACGAGAACCAGTGTCCCCACATTTCCCCCACCACAGCTCCCACACACACATTCAACTGTGTAAAAACAAAGCGACTGAGAGTCTACGACAACATGTGCAACCGGCTTAAAAGTGCTGTGATTGGCCAGAAGGCGTGCCTTATGGCCAATCAATGGCCGCGTGACGTGACGCACACTTTGAAAAAAGCAATTAGAGAGAAGAAAGATAAAATGGAGTCGATAAGATATCGATACTTTAAATCCTGGGGGCAAGGCTCGAAATTGGTTTAAAAAATGCTTGTATGAAAACCTTTTTATTATTATACGTTATTATTATGTTCTTTAACGATTTTTGCATAAAGGAGTCAGTTCCATTTTGTATGGACGAAAAACTCAGAATCAATTATTGGGACTAAATGAAGTTACCTTATATTAATTTACCCCAACCAAAGCTCAATGTCGTTATCGATGGAGTATAGAAGTTATAGACTGACAAAGTTTGTATGAAAAGTCATGGGTTAAGTAGGTACTTGCGATTTTTACCAGTATTTACAATATTGGTAATATATTATTATTTACTTTAATAATAATAACAGGATCACTGTAATTATTATTAACTACTATCGCGCATTAACTTTTTAATTATGGCGAAATTCGTACCGCCTATGTTTATCAAAAATAATGCCTATATTAGGCTTTCAACTAGCTCTTATAGTAATTACATAGTTGACAGTTACTAATCCCTTCTACTATTGTTATTGTTTTTGTAAAAACTTAAAAATCGCAAGCAACTCATGATTTTTTCATTCAAAATTAGAAAATAGAAAATAATAATTTACTTCTATTTATCGATAATAGGAAACCGTATTAGAACACGAGCCCTGCACTATGTTACGACCGGCACATGCGGCCGTACTGTGTATTTTCACGCGTCAGTGGATATCGGAAGAAATAAAATACATTGCGCAGTAGTTACGCATGACATAAAGTGGTTGCTAACTAAATCGTCAATGTACAACGTGTTTGAATTTTTATCACCACTAATTTCGATATCGCAGTAAATGTCACGGCACTGAATTCGTTCGTAAAAATGTTTAGTTTTTTTTATTTATAAGCAAAATACCAATGGATTTGCAATACTTACATGTGGTAAATGACTTCATTGTTCATGTAGTTCTTCGTTTCACTTATGTTATTGCACGTTACGACGCATTATCCAACAATATCGGAGAACATTTCCTCAGTACGACTGAATCGCGACTAACCTGGCGTCGCGGGCGATGTTCGTTTCTGGGCATATCGCGGAGACACGCGCCACGCCCCCGTTTCACATCTATTCCCTTCTATGATCTGAGTATTTGAACCACAAGAACAGTTTATTTAGGTCTTCTTGAGCCTTTGTATATTATAGTGAACATAATGACAAATAATATTTTCTCACAGGAATGAAGTATAAACTCAATGACGAAGGAATTATGTTTTTACAATTATTTATACGTTTGATGTAGATTGACACTGGCTGCTAAAAACTAAGTGGTTTTCAGTATCTACAAAAACATCTATTCGTGATTGCGGCGATTTAATAAAAAACATAATGATTTGCCAACTATTTTATTTTATTCTAATATTAAAATCTATTGAACACTGGCCGTTTTACTATCTAGCTCCAACTACACTTCTAGCGGTTCTAGCATCACCTGAAAAAGAAATCACACGTTGGTTTAATTCTACATTGGTCTAAAATCTACTAGCCAATAGCGATAAATTGAAAAACTAATTGACTAAGTACACTCAGTGACATAAAAATCGAAACATCTTCGTGTTTTCACAAACATGTCCAAAAATATTAAACTGATGGATACGGGACTATTCCCACCTCTCGTTCCCACCGCTGCAACTCCTGTGTAACCAGGATCTACAGCTTGACCGCCAATAAAACCCCAACCAGTGAAGGTCAAGTTTTTCCAGGGGGAAAGTTAAGCTGCCATTGGACCCGCAACGAAATAAATTAGAAGAACATAGGAGGAGTGTGAAGTTATGGTTCGACTTCCCTCAAGAATCGTCAGGTCTTTTGGTCTCTACTGCAGGAGTAAGAAGCTCTATAATTTTCCGAAGGCAAATGGAGGATTTGGCCCACACTCTTTCTCTACGTGGGTTGGGGAGATAGATACATAATGTAGAGACTTGCATGAAAATGTCATGATGTTTAGATTTTTGTGTCTGAGCATTTTTATGTATTTTACTTACATGAGATCTTGATGTAGTATGTTGTATCTCTCTTGGCGTAAATCATTGAAGATGCAATCAGGATTTTCAGTGATTTCTTTGGCTTCTCTATATGAAAACAAGTAATTAATTTAGTATGCTCAGCCTTAAGATTTGTATCGACAACGTAATGTAGACCCAACTGCACAATAGGCGTAACAGGTTAGGTTGAACATGTCATCGTCCTTATTAGTAGAGAGATAAGAGCGTCTTTTGCAGTGTCAATGTTACGCTTGATGTGCCGTCGGTGTACGTACAGTCACACGCTGGCTCAGATGCACCACCTTAACCTTAACCGTGACTATAACTAATCAGTATTTTTGTATGGAGTTTTACAGACAGAAAGTAAGATGGTGCAATCCCAGAGTAAGGCCCAGAACCCAGAACAGACGGTGAAACGCAACTGCAACGAAACTGCAACTGCTAGTTACTTTTGAGTTGCATCTAAGTTTCTGCCATAGCGTCCGTTGAGAGACCACACATGACGCGACCAGTTTGAAACTTTCAGTTTCAGTTTCATTCATAAGAATCATCAGAAAGTTGCAGTTTCGTTGCAGTTGCGTTTCACCGTCTGTTCTAGGCCTAAGTGTACTAGAGTAAAAACTAGATATTATTCTACTAAACAAGATGGATGTGGATGTGGTTTGAAGTAACAAAACAATACTATTTTGACTCTACATTTATCTTACGAAACATAATTTAGCAAAACTATGGATAGATCTGCGATAATATCCTTTGATATTTATTGTAAGTATTTATGTATTCTGTGGTATAACCAATGGCGCCAATTGAAATTGGTAAAACGGTAGATTCACAAAGGTGAATAAGTTTAATTTATTATTTCTATGTAAGTGTAAACAGACAGTCATACTAAACTCATTTGAATACAGACCACATTAATGTAAATCCGCTATTGCTCAACTAAAAGTCCTTGGGCTAGGACGTGTGTCATACTGTAGTGGCGAAAACCGACCTTACTGTTTTAAACGAGGGTTCAAGGCGTCTGTACACCACAACTATTTATGTACTACAGGTCTAGCGCATAAACTGAGTCACTGGCTTGAGGTATGGGAGCGGCATGGGACTTCATGGGAGGGTGTTTTCGTAACGTCAAACGTCAGCGAGACTTCAGATGTGCTTCAGATTTGTATGCTCCGTCCCATAATTTCCGTGCTTTTAAGCTATTTTAGTAGCTCATAAGATAGGACCCCTTAATTGATATTTATTGTCCGTGGTGCATAATCTTTTCTTATAGGTTTTAAACCTTTGTTTGTCAACTGTCATCCGCTTTGCAATGGAGGGAAGTCGAACCTTAACTTCGAACTCCTCCTATGTTCTTTTGATTAATTTCGTTGCGGGTCCAATGACAGTTTAACTTTCCCCCGGGACAAACTTGACTTTCATTGGTTGGCTTTTTATGGCGGTCAAGCTGTAGATCCTGGGTACACAGGAGTTGCAGTGGTGGGAACGAGAGGTGGGAATAGTCCCGTGTCCCATAATTATGTCAATTTCAACTCTCTCGTGCTCATATACCTCAGGTACTCACTCAGTTAAGCGCAAGACTTATAATTAAGTAACTACAGAACCATAATTTAGGCAGATTATCGCTGAAACACGTTTTTTTTCAATTTTATATTGGGATTCTCGATTTCCGATTTTACTTGTGTTTTATAACATGTATTTTATTTTATATGTACTATCAAACAGCAAACAACCTAATCTGTTTACAAATAAATGGGGTCAAAAGTCAAACATTTCAAACAATTGTCTACAAAAGCACACAAAAACAATACTTACTCTTCAACCACGATGTTATTTTCATCTTTGGGCGGTTCTGGAACTGGTATTGAAGCACTAGACAAATCAATTTGGATAATGAATTATTAACTTTATTAATAAACGTATTGAATTTAATTTCGGTTGTAATTTTATTTACCTTTCTTCAACTGGTAACAATAAAACGGATTTGATTTGTTTCCCGTCGGTTTTACTGTTTGAAGAAACAAATAAGTAAACATTTTAACTAAAATCAAAATAGGTGCCTACTTAAATCTAACATGTAGAGTGTAGATTAACCAAACTGTTAATGTCACACCTTTATGTGTGTAAAAATTTAAATTAATAAACTAAGTAATTCTGTTTAACACTAATTTCTATTTGTTAGTTAGGTAACGCTTGAACGCACAAAACAGCTGTAAAAATAGAGGAATTTTGACTTTGAGATTAGTAAATCACTTAGGAGACGGGCAGGGTTATTTTTACGGCAAATTTTTTTGAAGAGGGTGAAATAGCGTAATCTCGATGTACCGCAATTATTCAATGATATAAAATTAATTTGGTCTAGATGACGTGTCCAATGCACTCAAATACTTCGCCTAATTAAATTAATGTATTTGATGTTTTATTGCTTGTTGGCCTTACACCCTTGCTTACACCATTGTAGGTAAACTAAGCAGAATCTTAACCTTATTTAGTTGGTTAGTCCCATAATCTAAAATATAAACTAAAAGCATTTAACAAAATAAACATGTTTACATCTTATCCTCGAACATGTTGTGCCCCAACAGGGAATGGAACTGGGGGTACATCCTGGGGTCGTGGAAGTCGAAAATTGGGTTCTCCGGCTGCCACATTTATCGAAGAACACACCAAAACAAAGTCTTTACAACAAACGAAAATCAAACACTGCAAAATAAAGGAAGGATGTCACTGATAACAAGGGCCAGATAAGAACTGACATTTAAAAAGCTAAACTTATTATTTGTGCCTCCAAAATGTAGTTAAATATATTACTCACATTTTGTCCTCCTCAAAAAAGAAGTCATCGTCGTATTCTTGCATCATTTTTCACGAAATACAATCACAAAACACAACTGGATGCGACGTGTGGTTTGTTTGTTGTCAAAATTATTGATTTTTCCCGGGTGTCAGTCTTGAGTCGGTAAAACAGCACGGGATGACGTTGTGTCGACGAATCAGGAGAGCGGGGGCGCTTGGCGCGAAAAAGTTTAATGATTAAAAAGATTTTCATTGTTTTTTCTAAAGCTTCCTGACTTGAGCATGGCCAGTGTCGAATTAAAAAAAATGTTTAATCTTTCTTTGGTAGGCAACGAAATCTATATCTACCTATATCTACACTATAATACACTCGACGTCAAATAAATCGCACCTCCCGTGACAAGCATTTTCAAACGTATGCATCCCCACTTCCCACCAATATTGGTACCATTTAAAAGCCTAGAACTAGGCTACCTTCATTTCATTAAAGGAAAGGTTTTTACCCCAAAAATGTGTCTTTAGAAGGATCCAGAGTCACTTCTTCAAAAAATAGGTAGTTACGCTAGAGCCAACTTTTATGGCTATTTAAAACTGTTAAGTTGGGTTTAATTGCTATCCATCTGTTAAAGAGGACACGTGAGATCATTATTTGGTTTTATAACCATAAAAATTGGTCTAATTGATCCCATAGGTGGGCCCAAGGTGAGGTATTTTTTCAAGTCACATTTATGGTATGTGTTAATCATTTATTAAGAAATTAAATGTGTTTTTCTTTAATAATATTTATTGAGCTTTCAAATAACACCAATATTTGAAAATTATAAATAACTTGAAAAAATCGAACTGCCTAAGGCGGGAATGAGGATCAGTACTGTTGTAGAAAATTCAATAAAACTAGTATCTACGTAAATCTTTAAGACATAAGAAAGATATATCTTTTTGAATTATCCAAATCGGACCATTACTTACGAAGATATTAAGTAATAAACATAGGCCGTTTTTACCGCTAAAAGTCAACGTACGCAAGGCCGCGTGACGTCATTATATCCGAATCGAGCGCAGCCGGCGTACTATTGGGATGGAAAATATTTTTTTCCGGCTAAACTATCAGTTTTAGAAAAAAACTTTTAATAACATTTATTCTTCAAAATAAAGTAACCTATCGACCAGTAACTTTCAAAAATAAAAATTGTGAAAAATAAGTATTGCCATGTCCAAAAACCACAGTTTCATAGGATTCGATGCAATGCGGAGACGCGGTTGGGGTGAGTGTAACTTAATGATTGTTTGTATTGAACATAATAAATACATAATATTATTATGATGCTAATACCCAGTTTCTGGCCTGGGGAGGGGGATAAGTCATACCCAGCTTATAGCCTGGGTTATGACTCTAACAACACTTATGAACACTTTATTTGAATAAATCGCCAAATATACCACCGCGGAGACCCCAATCGCGTCTCTGCGTGCCATTGAATCGTATGAGCGTATGGATTTTTTGCGTTATTTTTCACAATTTCTATTTTTTAAAATTACCTATCGATAGCTTACTTTATTCTGATTAATAAATGTCGTTACAAGTTTTTCTCTAAAACTGATAATTTGGCCAGAAAAAAATATTTTCTATCCACGCAGTACGTCGGCAGCGTTCGGATCGGATATAATGACGTCATCGTCCCCGCGCCGGGCGGTCAGTGAACTTTTTTAGTAATTTGGCCATAACTTCGTCAATTTTTGTCGTAGAACAAAAATTTTTGCACTGTGTATTAAGGATTTCTTAGCCCTATAAATCTGCATTCACAGCTAAAAATCGAAATGATCCTCATTGAACCCACGAAGGCACGGGAAGAGCAGTCGCCCGGCAAGCGGAAGGTCGTGGGTTCAATTCCCGCCTTAGGCAGTTCGATTTTTTCAAGTTATTTATAATTTTCAAATTAGTTTGAGATGCGACTCTAAACGCTAAAAATTTAATAACACCAATATTGTTGGGGCACCATGATTGTGTCAGAAGAAAATCGCTAAAGTTCGCGTCGCGGAAGGTGCGGTTTATTTGATGTCTCTCACGGACATTGCCCGCGGGCGGCGTGACCGGAGGGAGCGGCGAGCGTTCGGCGAACGAACGAGCAATGTTCGATTCGCGAGCGAACATCTAAGAAGACGATCCTGACGCACTCTCTTCAACGACCTTGCACTAAACGGTCTCGATTANTGGGTTGTCCGTATAAGTAAAATTTTAGTGGTCAGACTTGAGTTTTATGAAATTTTAATTGGTTATCATCGATTCGATGTTTTAACACTGAAAACTTAAAAACATCGATACATCGAGTATTTCAATAGCTTTTCAAAACATCGGATCCATTCGATGTATCGCATTGTAAACATCGATGTTTTCGATACATCGATGTATATCGAATATCCCTAGTCTCGATAATCTTGTAAATTTATACCGAATAGACAATTATTTTCATACAGTCCACTCTTTTCATTTATTAACTTCTACTACACTCACTATCGAAGTAACAGTATGTTTGTAATGAGTAGGCTCAAAAAGTACTGTGCCGATTTCGAAAGCTACATTATCCACGAGTAACATAGGCTAAATTTTATTTTGGGGAAACACAGGGTTCAGGGGTCCACGCGCGTGAAGCCGCGGGCGGAAAGCTAGTTGATTATAAACCTAACCATAGCCTAATACCGATTCACTAATAATCAAGTATTGCGGTAATTCTAGGAGATACTTAATTTCTATCTAATAAAAGCTCAACAGTATTAGATCTAACAGTTTTGAAATCTCTTACATACTTTTCCTCTATTATTGTGACTAAGTTATAATAAAATTAGAAACTCATTATTCATCATTCACATATTACTCAAAGTGGTTTAAGCAATAAATACGAGGTCACAGGTCAAAATTATAATATTTGTGAGGAGAACAAAAAAATCTTGCCACATACTCGTAATTTCTATATACTTAGGACGAAAGGACTTGCAGATTGGCTTCACTGCCAGTCGGTCGATGTTGTAACTTAATCGGACGTGTGAAGTAACCAAGCTGAACTGTTTTAAATGTAAAAGTTGCAATAAACAACTTGCCGTACGACCAGTATCGTTTCTCGAGTCACGCGAGTTGGTCTTGCTACACCATACCACAATGAAACTTTTAATTGTGAGTGTTATTTCGTGCTGTGTTAACCTGACCTAATTATTTGTTACGATTTTTTAAAGTGTCAAGTTCTTCTTCTTCTTCTTTTATTTTGGCGACGGCTTGAAGTGTCAAGTTCCGAACGTTTTACGTGCTGTCAAAAATTTCCCGCGTAAATATTGACAGGTTACTTTTTAATTTCCAGTTCCTGGGTGCATGTGGCATGCTTTGCCATGCAGCCTCATCCCAAACTCGTGATCCTCCAGGACCAATCGAGAACTTCATAAGGACTAATTTCGTTGGACATCCAGTAATCCACGATCAGCAAACTTGGATATTTGACCCAGATATTTCTTTAAAAAGAAGGAAGCAGTTCGTGGAACTCAATGGCGATAAATCTGTGTATTTAATTGAACGATTGGGTCTAGGAATAGATGGTCGTGCTGATGAAAGACTGGCGAAGCAGAGACAACGCGATGAAGGACATTTGGGTGGTTTAAACTATTTTCAACCTTAATACTTTTTGCTAGTGCCTTCTTGGTTACAGGGTTTTTGGGGGAGGTTTTAAGAACTTACCTGAACCAAAGAGTTATTGTGTATTGTGGTTACTTGTTATGAAGTGGAAAACGGTGATGAGACAAACTACTGACTGAAGACAAAATAAATAAGTTAATGTACTAATCAAATGAAAATCATTTGTATACACCCAACTACTACTATACATAAATTAACAACAATTATTATTTAAGTTAAAATGTACCCTAGTTTACATTTTCTGTTATAAAATTAAAACGTGGTGTTTTTAATGTTCCTTTGTTAATTAGAGAGAATAATCGAATCATATTATTTTTGTTTAACGCTGAGTTTCTGGTTAATAATTATTAAGTACCTAATAAAAACATACTACTTAATTTTACTCCAGTTCATTATTATGTTCCTTTATAATTAATTATCATCATCATCATCATCAGGTCATAGTCTCTACTAGCAGAAGAATGATCCTCTCTAATTCACCATTCACAAATGGAGGATTTGCAATTTTCGCCATGCTGTCTAAAAGGTTGTTTTTCAATAATTCCCGGAATCGAACCCGGGTTTTTCCTGTCATCTCGCCGAAAAATACACGAAATCCAAACATTATCGAAGAGTTTTGTAACAGCAAGGCTTTTAAGTGACGAAAGTCGATCCATGATTCATGTGAAACTTTAAACCAGTTTTGTTAGTTTTAATAATAGCAATAGCAAATTACACAAGTTTTGTTGATTTGAGGCAAAAATAATGTTCAAAGATTTGTCTGAAACAAAAACTTAAATTACCCTAAGCTACATGCTTGATGCACAAAAGTAGAGTAATGTGGCGGACTTAATTTGTATGTTTAGTAAGTATTACCAATTACTAGTAAATAGGTTAACTATAAATATCAGGATAATAACCTAAATAAAAATTTAATTAAGTACTTTTTATTGAATGTACTATTGTATTACTCTATGAAAGCAATAAAGAAATGTATTATTATTATGAATACACTCTACATTGCTCACATTACTAAATAAATAACAAAGATAGTCAAGAGAGGGTCTTCTACAGTGGCAGTGGCGCCACTCTTGTGATTGAAAGATTTGTAATTACAGTCCTATCAACTTAAGCTGAGAATTGCATTTGTGTGAGTGATCGCCAAAAGTACCGTTAGTAAAACACATACAAATAAAATTAATGTTTTATTAAAAGGAAGTCTATAAAACACTTGCTACCAATTAGGGCGATGTAACGACACTTGACACATCCTTTTAAATAAATAAATAAATAAATAAAAACAGGTCCTCGCTCAGCATATGCCAAGGCACGAAGTACCTCGACGCTGATATTCTGCGAGCACCGTTTATAGAGAGGGCGTCCAGCCAGCCTTACAAAATACAACAAAAAGACAAACTTTATAAAATTACAAAATAAAAACAGACTAAAAACTTTTCGTTCACACCTTTAAAATACGTATTCAATTTGCATAAAATTTCTTTCACTTGGCTGCTTAATGGATTTCGTACAGGAAATTCGCTTACAGTAGGAGCCATTTCACTAATATTTGGAACACAATTACATCAAATTACACGTATCTGCTACCAGTACCGGGGGTGAAGTGAAGTATGTGAGCGACAAGGAAGCGGTGCGTGGCGGACGCGCCGCGCTTCAGGCCGCTTGCTATAATAAACCATGCGCGGGACGCGCCGCGCTTCAAGCCGATTGCCACTCTAAACTATCGGTGTGCACTCACACAAATGCAATTCTCAGCTTAAGTTGAGAGGACTGTACATAATACATAATACGATGTTCTTAGCGCTCACTAGTTGGCGCTACTATCTTCTCTAAGCCATCTAGTGAAATCTCTACTAACTGACTCAGTGGAAAACTTGCCTGTTAGGTAGTGGTGTTACTTGTATGACATAGATGTCGCTGCTGTACAATTTGGATTCTACCTTCAGGGGAACAAAACCTTTTTAGGTATGTATTTAAATTGTTAATATTGTTTATCTAGTACCGCTGAAGAAGGTAATTTATTCCAGTTTTAGTGAAAAAATTTTTACTTGATGTAGTGGTATAAGAAATAATGCTACACCATTCAAATATTTCGTTTATTTCATAAGAATTACAATATGGAGACTTGACAATTTAAAGAAATCTTATAACTAATGACAATAATAGAAAATATCCTAGGAATTATGAAAATAGGATACCTAGCTTAATCTATACGGGAATTGATATTTGGATCTTTTAAAATAGAGAGTACATCGAGTAAATCCGATAAATTTTGTCGAAGATTCAAAATTTTACTAAAAATATTTAATTATTTTGAAACTCCGAGAATTTTATCGTAATATTATGTACGTAAAGATATTACTATAACTACTTAGGCAGGTATTGGTTTTTGAAAACATAGTCTTATGGGAATAAATAAAAAAATGTTGCGAGAGATGAAAAAATACTTCGCAATACAATGTCAAAAATGTTTTTGACTCTGATCTGCGTAAATACAGTCGTAAGAATTATTTATAATTATTGTGGCAACATCGCACTCATTCCAAAAACATTGCCCGACGTTCTGCCATACACTATTTTGCAATAGGTTTTTCTTTTTTTTTGTTTTTTTCTTTTTTGTATTCGCAATTAAAATTTTCTTCCGATTTTTTAAATAATGCTTTCAAAAACCAGCAACCTTAGAAATATTTCAAATTAAAAGAGTAGGTATAAAAAGGACTAAACCCCTATGACTGTAGTTATTACATCGATAAATGCATAGGTATCAAAACATTTTGTAAACTAACTTCAAAGTTATTTTGTGACTGTTTCTCATTATAATAATAATTTCCATTTAAATTGTCACATAATGCTAGTCATTTAAAGTACTTCAGGTCTTGCCTGATAGAATGCGTGCCTGATCGTTTGTTACGTCTGGATACGATTTCTATTGCATTTACGATAGATTTTCGCTCTCCAGATTTTGTTTCAGGAATTAATTGACATTTAGACATTTATTTTATATACAAAAATAAATAATTTCAAGTTTAGACTACGGGTTTTCTGATGTTTAAAAAATGGGCCTTTACGTTATAAACCAAAGAAGTCACAGCATTTGAGTTGGAACTTTTCTATGTATTTCTTAAAACATTTTCTATATTCTGGTATAACTTACATACTAACTACTTTTTTGTCTAAAGCAATTTTGTAATTTTTGTAAAGAAAATATTACATTAAACCAGTGAATAATCTCCTTTAAGCAAACAACAACTGCCTTTATCAATACTAAAATAATTAGCATTTTGTAACAATTTTATATCTAAGCAAAACAATTTATTTCACTTAGTAAGGCACCTCACATTTTTGGTTTACATTTTTTTTTTCAAATTTTTAAATATTTTCTTCTGCCAATTTCGAGAAACTTTTAATTATATTAGCTTATACTAATTAAGAACACCAAGGAAGTATTACACCGTAATATGGCATTAAAATCATAAATAACAATTTATAATTATATCATTAAAGAGATCAAAAATAAGTATTTTTATTTTTATCAAAATTATTAATGTGTGAAAGTTTGGTATTTCTTGGTTCTTGTTTAATAAAAACAAAACTGTAAAAGAGAAACATAGTGGAAAAAAAGAAAATTGCTTACGGCCCCTGGTATAAAATTAATCAGGGATCGAAACACATCATGTAATAAATTAGCGCATTCTAGTAATTTTGTTAAATTTGAAAATTAAGAACGTGGATAAGAATTATTTTTAAGGCTTTTTAGACCCAAAACTAGACGTATTCCAGTATCTCTAACGTTTTTCTCTTTTATCAAAACAAATATTTATAATATTGGGATAAAGGAAAAAAATATTTATTTAATACCACATGACCTTAATAGAGTCTATCTATGGGTCCAATTTATATTATAGGACATTCTGACTTGGGATAACATTTTTGGAATAAATCAATAATAATATGGACACAGTAAAAGTCAGTTACGTATGTTTTTATTAACCAAGGACCTTCTAAATATTGATTGCAGTACAATTTAGTTACTATTATGCTATCATTTTAAATGTAAGATAATGTCGTATGATGATCGTTGTCGAATTGTTGCTCGTAAGAAGGGCATCACTCTGCAAACTCTTGGACCTGGAAAGAGAAAAAAAATGTTTACAACATCTGCAAAAAAGTATTTACGCCAAAAGTCGCAATTATCAAATGAAAAAAAATTTTTTTTTAACAAAAATCACAATAATAACGCATGTTATAGCCTGACCAGGAACATAAAAACCCTGGCATAGAGGCGCGTCAATTGCATTTTATAGTGCAACACTGAGTACAGTCGTACCTGTGTTAAATTAATAATTAACATTGTGAACCACTTTTCTTTCACGACTATAAAAAGATTTTAGCAATTTAATTCACAAAATCAATTGCGCATATTTAAAATAAAGTTTGTTTACACTTTGACAGCAATAGACTGACATGCAAGGTGACATCTCAATGAAGTTTTCAGTTACTGTTGCCATTAAAAGAAATTAGTACCATTAGTTTTCCGCAACATGGCGAGGGTTTTTATGTTCCTGGTCAGGCTATAGAAAGTTTATTGTTAGAGTAAAAAGGTTTATAACTGCAAAAATAGCGCCCGTAAAAATAAGTACAAAAAAGCCCTTATTTTCCTGTGTACCCTTGGCTGTTCCCTTGATGGTACAGTAGAAAATAAATTTTAACCGCTGTACCCTTGGCCGTAAAACCCAACCAACTTAAATTGTACACGTGACCAAGAGGACTAGCTTTTCTTGAATTTGGCCAAAAGACAAAAACAAATGAACATCGATAAAAACAAATGCAGTAACATGGATATGGATGTAGATAAAAGTAAAACCTAATTATAATGAATTAAGTACATAGAATAAAGACAATATTACGCCATTTTCCTGTACCACTTCTCCCTACAAATACAGGCTACCTACTTTAAATATGGGCAACTAAAAAGTATCATCTAACTCCTAACTTACGAAGTTTGACCTTTCATCATCAGCTCAACTAAAAAACCTGAAGTAATACAACGTTTGTACATACGTACCTAAAATATTTAAAGAATTATTCTCCAACTCCTAAGCGTTAAGGAGTTTTACCTTCCATCATCACCTCATGAACATTAGATGATAACTACCAGATGCATATACTTGAATATCTTTAGAATAAATATGAAAAACGATATTCGTGCCTATAAAATTTGAGGGTTGCCCTCGATTTCCCTAGGATCCCATCATCAGATCCTGACTGGGTGACAGTGGGACCACCTCAGAAGTGTACCCTATCGAACAAAAAAAAGTTTTTTTAAAAATCGGTCCACAATTGACGGAGTAATCGGTGAACATAAATAGAAAAAAAATGTGTACCCTTTTTTGAAGTCAGTTAAAAATGGCGTAATATTGTCTTTATTCTATGTACTTAATTAATTATAATTAGGTTTTACTTTTATCTACATCCATGTTACTTCATTTGTTTTTATCGATGTTCATTTCTTTTTGTCTTTTGGCCAAATTCAAGAAAAGCTAGTCCTCTTGGTCACGTGTACAATTTAAGTTGGTTGGGTTTTACGGCCAAGGGTACAGCGGTTAAAATTTATTTTCCACTGTACCATCAAGGGAACAGCCAAGGGTACACAGGAAAATAAGGGCAAAAAAGGTTTCGTTCGATTCAAATACAAGAGAACTTAAAGTTGAAAATGAAAATTCGTGTTAAAACTTGCGGGCGCCATTTTTCTGATTTGTAAGCTGTAAATATTTTAGTGTTTATTTAGTACTTTATACATGGTAAGGTAAGGTACAGTTTTCGGTATGCAAAATATTTGAAATAATATGTTTTCCGACGTCCAAATCCGATGTGGGCTGTGCACGTCTAATTGGATGGCTGTTACACCGAACTGTGACTTTTGTCACGAGACTAAAGTGAATTTTACCTACAATTTTACTATGTATTTCAGGGGGAAAAAGCATTGTGTTACTTGGACATAATTTAGAAAACCACTATTAGATGTAGAGGGCATCTGTAGTGAAATCAGAAAGTAAGAAAGAAAGAAAATTGTTTATTTGGTTCAAACAAAATTGTTGAACCAAAATGGCTCCTACTCAGCTTGTATCATATTCCGTAAATAACATGATGCTGGTATTCTGTAGGAACCATTTTGAAAAGAGCGTCACCAGGGACGCAATAAACATTGGCATTTCACCATAAACATTAATAAACTTTTACATAAAAATGTAACACTTAACAATATGAAATAAAATCTACTCTTTATTGCTTAAAAAATACCTAGACTTTTCTGGCGCATTGTACTCTCTTAGGTGACCATGTGAGCGTGTTGTGTACTATGAGTGTATTAGTGTGAGTGTGTGTGAAGCAGGCAGAAAATAATAACAATAATAATATCTGCAAACATTACTTTAGAGCTACTTAAACACCGGATATCTGTCTGATACCAGCAGACTGATACCGCAGTCTAATACCAGGGTCCCATTATGCCACACAAATGATACTCACGCCAAATAGGAAAAATTTGAGTTTTCGTTAAAGTTAGTATGTTTTCATTAAGCCTAGCTAGCATCATACCTATAGGTTCTATAGATAAGTTGCTAGATATCAAGATATGTGTGTGAAATCAACAATACCTTTTTTGTATCCTCGTAACTTAAGTAAGTAGATAATACAGAGAAGGTAAAGTTAAATAAATAAACGTGTTTTTTCATTTAAAGCTGTTCGCTTAAAAAGAAAAAGTCAAAACGTATGCAAATTTACTCAATGTAGATACTTTTTGCTTCAATACCGTTACAATACGGTGTGATACGCAGCCTGTGGCTGCATAACGACGTAACGGTTCCCTCGGATATTTGCTATTTATCTCCTTTTTCGGCGCGACGGCACTATCTGGCGTCAATGTGCCAGAAAAGGACAGATAGTGTCACGAGGGTTGCTTTATGAATGGAATTTAAATTTAAATAATTGGATGGCCATTGGTGTCGGTTAAGGTTATGGCCACACGATTTATAATTTTAAATAAATTAAAAAATTGACACATTTCTCATAGTCCCGAATGAACTATCTAGAATAGAAGGTTCTTATTTAGAACCTTTCCAAAACATATATTTTACCTAGTGTAACTAAAGTGTGGTCATGCTAAGAAACCTAATAATACCTTCCCAAACTAAGGACGTCAACTGCTGCCCTGAGCCCCTGAGTAAATAAAAGTACTAACATCGTTCTTCATTAAAAAGTTCCACCTTTTTCCATCGATGCCATCAAATTCCGAAGTTTTCTAACTCTTATGCAATAAATCGGCATTTCTTAATTAGGGTTGGCAGGCAGCTAATATGCATTATTATTTTTTAACGTGAAAGATTTAACTTAAAATCATTATCATATTTTTGGTCTCTACTGCAGGAACACGACTTTATTTTACCCGAGGCAAATAGATTTGGTCCTTATTTCCTGGAACCTTATTTTGTCCCTTAGGCCCAGAACATACGGTGAAACGCAACTGCAACGAAACTGCAACTTTCTGATGATTCTGATGAATGAAACTGAAACTGAAAGTTTCAAACTGGTCGCGTCATGTGGTCTCTCAACGGACGCTATGGCAGAAACTTAGATGCAACTCAAAAGTAACTAGCAGTTGCAGTTTCGTTGCAGTTGCGTTTCACCGTCTGTTCTGGGCCTTAGTCGCCTCTTACGACATCTATGGGAAGAGTGGTCCTAATCTATAATATTGCCGGAATCCCCTACTTTTAAGCTGTATAAATCCTTCCTTGAGTTGATGGGGACTGAACTAACGGGACTATTCCCACCTCTCGTTCCCACCGCTGCAACTCCTGTGTAGCCAGGATCTACAGCTTGACAGCCAATAAAAATCCAACCAGTGAAGGTCAAGTTTGTCCCGGAGAAAGTTGAACTGTCATTGGACCCGCAACGAAATTAATCAGAAGAACATAGGAGGGGTTCGAAGTTAAGGTTCGACTTCCCTCCATTGCAAAGGGGATTGTACCTGTGATTGTACTAGCAACTTCTCTGATCTGAGCGGAAGTCCGATGTCTCAAGTTTTGGAGACCCTGAATAGGGTCAACGTACGATATCCGACGTAAATCAAAGATATTGTGAGATTAAAAGATACGTCGCCGTAATGCAATGGCATCCATCTTGTACTCGCGTTATGCAAGAGGTTTGTTTAAAACCATTAAAAGTTTATCGGATAACTCGTTACTTAATCGATAAATTCTTAACGATGTTTGATTTAATCACTTTTTTATGCCACTGAATAATGACGTTGAGATTTCGTGATTTATTTGTTACAAAGTTTTAAAACTTTCAGAGAGTAAGCTATTAAATAAAGTATTTTTGTTGTTATAAGATTGGTTTCTAGTTTACTTTTCCAACGTATACTTTACTAGCTTTTGCCCGCGGCTTCACCTGCGTGAAATTTAGTTTGTCAGAGATCGTCATAAATTATAGCCTAATGTTATTCTAGGTTATAAAGAATAATGCTGTAGAGTTTCATCAAATCCGTTCAGTAGTTTTGGCGTGAAAGAGTAACAAACATCCATACAGACATTCAGACATCCAAACTTTCGCATTTATAATATTAGTAGGATACTGGCTAAATAAAATTCTTCTCACTGCAGCGCTGGCAAAGATTCATTTTTACCATAATAATATTAATTTAACTTTTTTTCTCTATTTTCCTTTATCGTTCTTCATGAGAAAGTTGTTTCCAATAAATGCTACCTAATACAGCAGTAGGGTCAGTCTAATTTTAGATTAAAACATTATTCTATACCATTTAATTTCTATAAAGCAGATAGATATTACTATTATAGGTCGCTCAACGAGAGTTGAGGCCATCAACACAAGCAAGATTTGTATTAGTACATACGCTGACTGCGCTGACTATAGTATTGCTTTTGGTCTCGCTTACGGGACTAGTCACACCTCTCGTTCCCATTGCTACAACTCTGTGTAGCCAGGATCTACAGCTTGACCGCCAATAATCCAACCAGTGAAGGTCAAGTTCGTCCCGGGGGAAAGTTAAACTGTCATTGGACCCGCAACGAAATTAATCAGAAGAATATAGGAGAGTTCGTTTCTGTCTC